TAACAAGCGGCCTTGCTGCCCACCTTCTAGGTGCAAACGAGGGGAAGGGAAGTGGGTGAGAGGGAAGACAAGACAACCGGTCCATCTCTGAAAAATATCCTTGGCTAATAATAGATCATTTCGATCAGTCTGTTCAGCAGGTCCCGTAGTTAATCCCCCGCTGGGAGACCAACGTCTTTGACTAAACGACGAATATCCACAAAATGGAAAGCTTAACTTGCAATTGATTGAAGCGATCAGTGCCTCATTCATCATCCTCATGGCTCAAGAATAGGTTTCCCTGATGTTATCAGAGCGCAGGTGACCAGTTGTCCGCAATGATGATGATGATGATGATGATGATGATTTTGATGATGATGACAAGTGAGGAGGTAAGGAAGATGGTTAAAAGGGAGATATGACGATGATGAAGAAGAAGAAGAAGAGGGGCGGAGGCCATACCTGCGTTAGCGGTACTTAACTGGGTGCGAACAACAACAACAACAACAACAACCACAAGAAGAAGAAGAGGGGCGGAGGCCATACCTGTGTCAGCGGTACTTAACTGGGCGCCATAGCCGTGCTCCACACTGGCGACCTGGACAACAACAACAACAACAACACGCACCTGCGTCAGTGGTACTTAACTGGGCGCCATAGCCGTGCTCCACACTGGCGACCTGCACCACCACCACAACAACAGCAACAACAACAACAACAACAACCACAAGAAGAAGAAGAACAAGAAGAAGAAGAAGAAGAAGAAGAAGAAGAGGGGCAGAGGCCATACCTGAGTCAGCGGTACTTAACTGGGCGCCATAAACGTGCTCCACACTGGGGACCTGCACAACAACAACAACAACAACAACAGCAACAAGTACAACAACAACAACAACAACAACAACGACAACAACAACAACAACAACAACAACCACAAGAAGAAGAAGAAGAAGAATTCATCAAGAAGAAGAAGAAGAAGAAGAAGAAGGCCCTGATTCAGCCTGAAATGACACAGGGCCTGTAGGCTGTTGTTTTCAGGCTTTCAGGCTGAAACGACACAGGGCCTGTAGGCCCTTGTTTTCACGCTTTTGGCCTGAGAACGTCACGGGCCTGGAAATGGCCCGTGCGGCCTGTTGCCGGCGCAGCATGTAACACGCTCACACAGGAAGAATGCGCCAGCCCCGAACATACACAGACGAGGAGGAGGGGGATCAGACGAAGCAGAGGGGAAAGATGGGAATGTCGTCAACACCAAGTGTTCGATATAG